CCTGTACGGTGCTCTATAGGGACCATTAATTTTTGGGTGGTAACACATGTGTCACTTGCACAGTATTTAGGACTATTTTTTGGGTAGAAGGACTGTGGCACACGTTTGCTGTGTATCGATTATCACCTCCGCCGCCTCCTGTATGGTGTACTCACTACCAATACTTACCATGAGTATCACTTTCCCTCTCTGTACATTATGGACCCCAAGGCATTCATCTACTCAGAATGAACAGATGACCCGGGTGACCGGTTCTCTATCGGTGGTTCCTCGGTCTGTCCACGCACACATGTAGGGGACACGTGGTCAGTCCGGGGGGGCAATAATCTTATTTCTGTGATTTGGGGGCAGAGGAGATGCCGGAGACGTTGCACAGACCTCAGTCTCCTTGTGGAAAGTGTGTGAAAGGTCTTTTCCTGACATTCTGCTACTGGGTGGGAATTATTATCCCAGGAAGGGAGGAATTAACAAAACAATCACTTTAACAATCCGACGGCCTCAAAATAGAAGAAATTCTCTTTGTAAACATCGGGGGTGAGGTCATGTGTAAGCCGCCATAATTCTGGGACATGTGACAAAGAGGGAACACGCTTCTTTAAAGGGACCCCACTGTCAACAATGTAACGTTTGTGCTCTGCCCACAATGGCTGTTATAGGAAACCAAAGTGCCTCCATTGTGTCCTTTTATCTCATAACATCCCCCATAGAGTCCTCTGTGCTCAGATATACGAGCAGACATTGTATGGGAAACTCGAGGGCCCGCTATGGTGCTCTATAGGGACCATTTCCATTCCAGTGGTTATAAAGTTTGTCCTTTATAAGTGATGGTGTCCGGTGTTCACAGACCACGAGGGAAGGACAACCGACAGAGATAAGGATCCCATATATTCTCTGTGTATGGACCTCATCTTAAAGGGGAATACACAAGGAGTGAGGACAAGGTGGGCATTGCGTAAGGTGGACGAATTGGAGCCGCAATGTAGGATGAAGGTGTGTGCGTGTGTGTGTATATATGTATATACAGTGGGGCAAAAAAGTATTTAGTCAGCCACCAATTGTGCAAGTTCTCCCACTTAAAAAGATGAGAGAGACCTGGATGCACCGATATATCGGCCGCTGAAACATATCGCCCGAAAGTGCCATTTTTCTGCCGATACAGCGGCGCATCCGTTCTTTCTCTCCTCCACGCTGGGCGCTGCTCTGTGTCCCAGTGGGGAGAAGAGAAACTGTCACGGGTGGCCCAGTGCTACGGGAGGAGAGTGCTGTGAGCGGCCGGCGTCTCTTCTCACACACCGCTCAGCCTCCTATCACAGATCGGCAGATCACAGGGCAGAGACAGCCCGCGCTGTCACAGGAGGCTGAGCTCTCCTCCCCGCACCGTTCGCTCAGCCTCCTGTGACAGCGAGTCAGAGAGGAGAGCGGGTGATCAGGGATCGCGGAGTGTTTGTAGATAATTGAGGACAGAGTATGGTTACTATATCCTCAATTATGAATGAATGGGAAGTGATCTACATCACACCTACATCACTTCTTGTTCATTAATGATTGTGTTTATAGTAAACATACTCTGTCCTCATATTATGAATGATCAGGAACACTCAGTATAGAGGATGCCTGTTCATTTATAACAGGGGATATAGAACAAGAGATTGAGGGCTCTGTGTGTCTCTGAGGACTCTGTGTGTCTCTGAGGACTCTGTGCGTCTCTGAGGACTCTGTGCGTCTCTGAGGACTCTGTGCGTCTCTGAGGACTCTGTGCGTC